TCAGCTTGAGGACTAAGGTGCGCCTGACCCAAGCCATGCTGTTTTCAATAATCTCATCTGCATGCAAAAGCTGGACAGTGAATAAGGAGGACCGCAGAAGAATTGATGCTTTTGAGTTATGGTGTTGGAGGAGACTATTGAAAGTGCCATGGGCTGCTAAAGGAACCAATAGATCTGTTTTGGAAGAAGTGCAGCCAGAGTGCTCCTTGGAGGGCCAACATGGCCAAACTTCATCTCTCATACTTCGGACATATTGTCAGAAGGGACCAGTCGCTGGAGAAGGTTATCATGTTTGGTGAGGTCGAGAGTCAGAGAAAAAGAGATGACCCCTGACAAGATGAATTGGCCAGGAGGCAACATTGATAGACTCAAGCATGACAACAGTAGTAGGTTGGCCCAGGATCAGGCAGTGTTTTGTTTTGCTGTGCATAAGGTTGCTATGGGTTGGTACCAACTTGATAGCACCTAACAACAACAACAATAAACTAAGATGATTAAAATTAGGGTGAATAAATTTCTAAAGACTTACTTTGTACCAGTAGCAATAAATATATTACACATTTATTGTTGTCACTTTCTGCTGAGTCAGTCCTGACTCATGGTGACCCCATGTGTGGAGAGTTGAAGTGTTTCAAACATTTTCAAAGCTGTTACCTTTTGAAACAAATCATCAAACCTGTCTTCTGCAGTGCCTATGAGTTGGTTCCAATCACCATTTTGGGTAGTACCCCAGGGACTCCTACATTACACATAGATCTTCTGTTTTATATTTGATATGAGTTTATATTCATATAGCATTGACTGTGAATTTAACTTCTTAATGTAACCTTGTAGAAAAAAATTCTCAGTAATATTTGGAAAGAAAATGAGTCAAATGGAAGTATTCTATGAAGGTAATTACTTGGGTAAATTTATGTAAAAAGTGTTATTTTGGGTAAGTAGGTTACACTGAAAATGAAATTAGGACTTTGGCAAATAATCTAGACTGTTACTCTTTGAGTTCTTTCTATTCATTTAAAAATAAATCTTTTCATTATGAAAACTTCCAAATATGCACAAAAATGGAGAGAAGAGTATAATGAATTTTCATGGAATCCTCTCATCACCCAGTCTCAACTCTGAATAGCTTTTGGCCACTCTTGTGCCATCTACCCATCTCCTTACTCCCTTGCTCAGATTATTTAAATCAAACTCAGATGTTATATCTTATTGGTAAATACTTTCATATGTATCTCTAGAAGATAAGATTTTATAGAACATAACAATGATACCATCAGTGATAGGGTCCAATAACTTGACTTCTGCAGGTCTAGCAAGACCTACTTGAGGTTGGCCCAAACAGCACACACAGACAAACAGCAGCAAATAACAAGCCAGGTTTATTAAGCTATGAACATTATACTTCTCAGAAGAGGAGAAGGGGACGTCGCTCTCCCAAGTGAGAATGGAGCATTTGCCTTCTGTTCTTTCTCCCCGTTTCTAGGGTTTTTGGATTGTTTCCCTCAGGTTTAATTCTGATTGGTGGCAGGGTCTAGATATATTTTGCACCTTTTCTGATGGCCTAGCACTACTCTGTTTATCAGGAGGTGTGCTGTGCTCAATTTCCTGGAATTGTTGATTCTGGTGCTGTTAGGTTCCTTTTCTATCCCTAACATTTCCTCCCTCAGAGAGTAGGGTCTTGAATTCTTTAAGGAGAATACAGTGTTGTTCTGTCTGGCTACTTTCTGCTGATTGGAGAAGATGACCTACCTAATTAGGATCCTTTTACTGAGTTTCTTTTCTGACTCCTACTCTTCCTCTATCTATCTGGTTGCTGCCACATCTAAAGGTTCCATGGCTATGGGTTGGAAGCCATGCACCACCATAATTTTCATTTGGAACTGTTGTATTCTGGACAATACAAATTTAACCAACAGGTTTAAACACACAATAACCAAATATTAAAAGTATTGTTATAACCACTATTGGTTTAATAAGAGGGAGAAACAAAGTCATTGAGGGAATCAAAATTTTAATAGTTGTCCAAATGTTTCCAGTTATTTATTTTTTGACGGTCCCTTAAAACCTTGGCAATGTTTAACAGGCCTTGTACTCTTTCCTCTACTTTTCCACTTGAGTTGATAAAAAGCAGCAAGTAGTAATTGCCAGAGCACACTAGCCAGAGCCTTGGCTAGCCAGTATATAGTTTAATGCTATTTGGTGGTCCATCACCTGCTTTGCCAGTGAATCAAGAGAGTACTGGATTGCTTTTATGGCAATACCAGCATGTTTGTAATAGCTCGTGTATTGTACATAACCCCTCCTATGAGGCCAGCAATGGCAGTGAGATCACTCCTGCTAAATTAGTCCTACTCCTCTCTAGATCTAGAGAAAGTGGTATAGAATGTTGTTGTTGTTAAGTACTGTGGAGTCCTTTCCAACTCATAGTGACCCTACACAGGGTTTCCGAGGCTGCAAATCTTTACAGGAGCAGAAAACCTCATCTTTCTCCCACGGAACAGTTGGTAGTTTTGAACTGCCGACCATGAGGTTAACAGCCCGATAGAAGTTCCTATAAATCTGAGAATCGTAATTTATAGGTCTCAACCATCCTACTGTGCAGCGCCCATATAAGTTGGTTACATTTAAATGTCTTAAAGCCAATGCTCCTTTGGTGGCATTGTCTCCACATAACCACTATGCCCCTGGGCCTAAATCCTTAGTGACTTGAATTTTTCTTAATTCATTTCAAATAGTCTTTCTCTGACAAACGCTGGCATCTGGAGTATCAACCAGTTGCAACTATACTCCAGGGTGCCAATGAGTTTCCCATTTTTGAATCGTGCCTTTCTGTAGTTCCTGAATGCTTCTCAGGTAGTTCTGGGCCTTCTTCCAGGACAAAGTCTTTTGGCAGTGCAGTTTTGGGTTATATTATTAGTCCATTGAGCAAGATGGAAGGGTATGGCACAACTCAAACACTTTGATTAAACTTGCACTGGCCAATCTACCTTGAGGACTGTAACTGGGTCTCCTGTAGGCTTCCTAAAATGGGGGCTAATGCTGGATGAATTAGTACTTGGAATGGAAGTCAGAGACATATGTTGGGAAGAACCCCGAGAACCCTGACTTTGGAAAATTTGGGGATGACACACCCAGCAATTTGTTAGAATTTGTCCCTGAGCTATTATTTTTTATTATTCAATAAAGAAGTTTGTGACTGTTACTGGGAACAGTGATAGACTTATGATTAAAGTGTCCTTCATAGTGATCTGGTGCTGTGACAATCTCTACTTTACATTTGGTTTCTGTAGGGTTAGGATAGGGGTAATATATGGTGATGGTGTTTCGTTTAGCATCCTAGAGTTATGGAGTTGCATTACAGGTGCTAAACCCTGAATTCCTTGTGGTGACAATCTATACTGCATTCTTTTAAGATATCCAGCCCCAGGTCTTAGTTCAATTTTAACTGCATCTGTATAGACTTATATAGTGGGCTTTCCATTTGCTCAAATCTCTGGATCCAAATCTCAGAGTTCAGGAGGAATGTCACCCTTTTCTGGGAGTTCCTCCTTTATAGCTAACATCTGGGCTCTAGGGATAAAAGCCAATGCTGTTCCCAATTTATACAGAAGATCCTGTCCCATGAAAGGGGCAAGAGTTTGGAATAATTAGAAACTGATGTGCCAATAATGTCCCCTGACAGATACAGGTCAGAAGTGGAGTGAGGAACCTTGGGGTTGGTGACCCATCAATTCCAATAACAACAGGAGAAGAGGAGGAGAGGAGACCACCAAAGGTTATGAGAACCCAATAGGCTGCCCTGGTGTCAACAAGAAAAGATATTATCTTACTGGCAACTTCCATGCCCACCCTAGATTCCTCAGGCAGGATTTTGATCTGCTTGCCAGGGAACATACAGGAACCTGGGCCCCATCAGTCTGATGACTCAGTAAGGGCCATTTCCCTTTTCCCTGGGCATCTATGTGTAAGGTGGCCTGTGAACCCACACCAGAAGCAGATGGGAAGGGGTCTTCCCCATCCTCTCTACCATTCTTAGGGAGCCTGTCTGGGTGCTCTCTATGTACATGACCCAGTTTCCCACAGCCACATCAGCTTTCTCCAAACCTGGGACCTGGGCATGACCAGCCAGAATGACCTTGTGCCACTTGGGGCTTAAGACCAGGTGCAAAAGTGGCTTCTATGAATTTTTCAGAGGTGTTCTTTCACCTCTGCATTTAAGTCATGGTTATTGTATACTGAGCTAGCAACAAACAGCTCATTGGGATCACTCTGGGAACCAAGAGCTTTCCATTGTAATCTCCTTCTTCTTTCTGAGGCAGATTGATTTATAAAATGGGTGTTTAAGATGACCCTTCCCTCTGGAGATTCAGGATCTAGATTGGCATCCTTATTATGCAGTATTTTTCATCGGGAGTGCAGCAGTAGGAGAGTAAGATCATTATGTCTTTCCAGGTTAGATAAAAAACTTGTGCTAAATGCTGAAATTCCTCAATATATTTCATTTGAAAAGTTTCCTAATTTGTCTTTGCAGTTCTTTAAATCTCCCATGCTGAAGGATACATGCACTCTCACAGTCTATCCATTTGGCCTTTTGTTGTTGTTAAGTGCCATTGAGTTGGTTCTAACCCACAGTGACCCTGTTTCCTAGGAGTGGCTGGTGAGCTTCAACTGCGGACCTTGCAGATCAAAGTGACTTTGAAGTTCAGTGCATTAACCCACAGCACCACACCAGTCCTAGCAACTTCTTAAGAGGGTACAGGGATGGGTATATTCCCTTGGGTACTGTTGGAAATAGCATTGTTTCCTCATAGCGGGGTAAGGAGTTGCTCAGAGGACTATAAGCTGGAGGAATGCCTTTACTTTCTTTTAGGGGAGCAGTCACCAATCCCTCTGTGTTTGCAGGGAGTCCTGTGGTTTTCTCCCCATGCCCTGATTATAATGCTCTCTATGGTGCATGAAAGCCTGAACATAAGGGATTTCACCCCACTTTCCTTGTCTTTTGCAAAAAAGATCTAACTGAAGAATAGTATTGTAATTAGTGGACCCATTGGATGGCCAAACCTCTGACTCACCCAACATATATAGGGGCCAAGCTGTGTTACAAAGGAAAATCATCTTCCTTTTCTTTAAGTTATCCATGCCTAGGGCAGGGTCATTCCATTGTTTCAGGATACATTCCAAAGGACTCTCTGCTGGTATGGACTGATCTTCTCTCCATTTCCCTAAAGAGAAACACAAAATCATGCAAGGAGGAGAACCACTTCAACCAGATCAGTGTCCTGACCCTGGAGCTATCCCACAGGAGACACTAAAATGCATCCCTCTTTCCCTAGTTTCCTCCTGCTTGGTGGTGGGTTTGCTTAGGCCTTCCCTTCCTATCCACTGCCAGAGTCACAAAAGTTAGTCAGTCTTGGAGGAGTCTGCCACAGTCTGGGGCTCCTCTCTTCTGTTCCTCCTTTCTTTTGGTCTTCCAGTCCATAATTTTGTTATTGTTGTTGTTAAGTGCTGTCTAGTTGGTTCCAACCCTAATTATTGTTGTTGTTAGGTGCCATCAAGTTGGTACTGACTCATAGCGACCTTATGCACAGCAGAACGAAACACTGACTGATCCTGGGCTAACCTCACTACTGTTGCCATGCTTGAGTCCATCAATACTGCCACTTGGCCAATCCATCTCGTTGGGGGTCTTCCTCTTTTTCGCTGACCCTCCACCTTACCAAACAAGATATCCTTCTCCAGCAACTAGTCTTTCCTGACAATATGTCCAAAGTATGAGAGATGAAGTTTGGCTATCCTGGCCTCCAAGGAGCACTCTGGCTGCACTTCTTCTAAAATGGATCTATTGGTTCTTTTGTCAGCCTATGCCACTTTCAATATTCTCCTCCAACACTATAACTCAAAAGCGTCAATTCTTCTACAGTCTTCCTTAATAGGTGGCCCACAATTAAGAAAGAGGTAGTGAATTCTCCTGCTCCTACCATCTAGACAATTCCTACTGTTCCCTTTGTCAAAAAACCACAGGCTGGCACCAGTACAAAAAGATAGGCTAAATTGAGGAAAGATAAAGGAACTGTTGTTGTTGTTGTTGTTTCTTTAACAGTTGTCCCAGAAAATTCCTTCCTTAGCATCCCAGAGATGTTACAATTAAACAGATGTTGCAAAAACTGGCTTAAAAATCCTACCTACCCACTTTTTACTGGAACCCCAAATTCTAAGCTCTCTTCATGCAATATACAATTTGGGGCATCCACCCCTAGGGTTAAGGTCCAACCCCAGTATGCTAACAGTGGCAAAAAGCACAAAGGAGGCTGCCTAGGGACATAATATAGGCAAGGGCAGGTTCTGGGATATAGTATCTAAAGAAAGATCGAAGAGTGTGAAGTTGAGCATTAAGTGAAAGTGAAAAGTTAAGAGTCCCATTCAGGCAAAGGTTAGATTCATACTGAAAGTCTCATTCTGCTGGAGGTTGAATGTTGTGGGTCTAAATGTGCTGCTTAGGTGAGGGACCTCCTCAGGGTGTCACCCCTGGAGTTGATTCCTCCCCTTATAAGTGACTCAGTATTCATTCTCCCTCAGGAGGGAGAGCGGCAAGGGCCAGGAGTGACCAATTTGCATCAGACCCTGGATGTGCCTAAACTTTCTGTCTTCAGCCTGGGCTTAGGCTCATTCTCTAAAATCCTTATCTGAATGGGAGTTCCTATGTGGCCCCTACATGGTTGCAGCCAGAACACCACACCACCTCTTCAATTGCTGTTGTTGTTGTTAAGTGCCATTGAGTCAATTCCGACCCATAGCAACCCTATATAGGATTTCCAAGGAGCCGGTCGTGAGCTTGAACCACTGACCTTGCAGTTCAAATAACTTTGCATTCTGATGCATTAGCCCACAGCACCACACCAAGACTTTATACCTCTTCAATAAGAGGGAGGAATTTGCCACTTGGCTCTTCTGTCCTGAGGGGAGCAAAGTCCCCTGAGATTCATGCAATCCTACTGTTTTCTTCAGACCAGTGGAGAACAAGTTCTCCTGTTGGACTCATGTAATATACTACTATCTGTCATTCAACACTTTCAACACACACAAAAGGGAAGGAAATAACATAGGTGAGATGGATATAAAACGAAAAACAATTATTCACCAACCAGAGCATCAACCTGAAGTTGTATCCCAATGAGCCCCCAAGATGTTAAGGTCTGATAACTTGACTTTTGCAGGTCTAGCAAGAACCACTTGAGGTTGGTACAAACAGCAAACACAGACAAAAGCAGCAAATAGCAAGCCAGGTTTATTGAGCTATCAGAAGAGGAGAAGCAGGAGTCTCTCTTGCAAACGAGAGAGAGCATTGACCTTCTGTTCTTTCTCCCTTTTTATAGGGTTTTTGGCTTGTTATCCTCAGGTTTAATTTTGATTGGTGGCAAGGGTTAGATGGCACTTATTTTGCACCTTTTCTAATGGTCTAGCACTGCTCTATTTCTCAGACAGTGTGCTGGGCTCAATTTCTAGGAATTGTTGATTCTGGTGCCAGGTGTTGGGGTGCAGTTAAGCTGGCTGTTAGGTTCATACTCTGTCCCTAACAATTAGTACAATATATTAGTAAATTAATATGCTACCTTCAGGAATTCTGGGGTGTGGCGATGTAGGATAAACACTGGACTTCTAACCACAAGGTCAGTTGTTCAAACTCACCAGTCGCTCCTCATAATCCCAATATGGAGTCACTATGAGTCAAATCCAACTTGATGGCACTTAACAACAACACCAACAAAACCATCAAGTATTCAGTCAACATTAAAATTTCCATGATTATCTCTTAAATATGCTTTACTATTTATTCATTTAACTTAAGATCCAAATAAGTCTTATATATCTTTTAATCTTCGAGTTTCTCCTCCATTTTCTTTTTACCTTAAAATTTATTTGCTGACTAGACAAGGTTCTATAGTTTTCCATACTCAATTTTGCTAATTGGATTCTTGTAATTGTCGCAACATGTTTCTCTCTCTTTTATGCTTCCTCTGAAATGAAAGTTAGATTTCTAGATTAAGTCTCTAGACTTGATCAGGTGTAAGTTTGGATTTTATTTCATAAGTATATTTCATCATTTTTGGTGTGTATTTGCATCAGAGGAGTCCCTGGGTGGTGGAAACAGTTAAGCTGTAGACTACTAGCTGAAAGGTTGGTGGTTTGAACCTATCTAGAGGCTCCTTGGAAGACAGGTCTAGTGATCTGCTTCTGAAAGGTAAACAAAAAAACCAAACTTAACTCCCTGATTATGACTCATTGCTACTGGTTTGTTATTAATGTTGTCAAGTTGATTCTGACTCAATGACCCTGTATATGTTTTCTGAAGAATGGTTAGTGGGTTTGAACTGCCAACCTTATGGTTAGCAGTCCAGTGCTCATCCTACAGCTCCATACCAGACTCCTTTAAGACTCATGTTGTTGTTAAGTGCTGTTGAATCGGTTCCTACACATAGCAAGCCTTTATAGGGTTTCCAAGGATCTGATGGTGGGTTTGAACTGCTGATCTTGTGGTTCACAGTCCAGTGCTGATCTACAGTGCCACACCAGGAGCCCTTATGATTCATTGTTGTTGTTAAGTGCTGTTGAGTCGGTTCTGACCCATAGTGACCCTGTATAGGGTTTCCAAGGAGCAGCTGGTGAGCTTGAACCACCAACCTTGCAGTTTAAATGGGTTTGCAGTCTGGTGCATTAACCCACAGCGCCACACCAGGACTTCACTTATGACTCACAGTGACCCTATATGGGGCAGAGTAAAACGACACCTTAGGGGTTCAGAGACTGTAAATCTTTACAGGAACAGATGGTAACAGACTTGAAACCTTATGGAACAGCTCTACTTTATCACCATGAGTTAGAATTGATGACATTTCCATTGCTATTGTTACATGCTGTTGAGTTGGTTCTGATTCATAGTGACCCTGTATAGGGTTTCCAAGGAGAGGTGAGTTTGAACTGCTGACCTGTGGCTCAAACTGACCTTTAGGTTGAGTGCTTATCCTATGGTGCCATACCAGAACTCCATAGATAGATATCGATATACCCGTATCAATCTCTAGGAGTCCTGATGTGGCACTGTGGGTTAATGCACTGGACTGCATAGTTGGTTTGAATTGCAAGGTTGACGGTCAAACTCACTCTTGGAAACCCTACTCAGGGTTGCTATGGGTTGGAACTGACTCAAGATGGCACTTAACATCAACATATCAATCTCTGGTTCTATTTGAGGGTAAGTCAAAAAGTATTGCTATAAAATAACAGAAACCTTTATTAAAAATATCAAAATGTGAAACTTGTTTCTAAACATATCCTCTATCTAGATCTGTATACTTCTGAAGGTAATATCTCCATCTCTCTAACCCTTACCTGAAGAATTTTGTGCTCTTCAATATATACCATGTCAAATGGCAGTTTGGGCACCCTTGAGGTGTGTTCCTTTTAAATGTTTTTTTGTTTTGTTTTGTTTTTTGAGTCTTGAGAACATAAAGAATCCTGAAGGGACAAGATCAGAGCCATAGGGTGGATGCATCAATTCTTCTAAGGTCTTTCTTATTCACTGTCCAACTTTCGCATGCATATCAGATTTATTGAAAACACCATGGCTTGGATCAGGCACACTTTAGTCCTCAATCTAACATCTTTTCTCTTGAACACTCTAAAGATGTCTTCTAAAGGCAATTTGCCTAATGCAATATATTTGATTTATCGACTATTGCTATCATGAGTGTTGATTGAGGATCCAAGCACAATGAAGTCTTTGATAACTTCAATCCTTTCTCCATTTATCATAATGTCACTTATTGGTCCAATTGTGAGGATTTGTAATTTCTTTACATTGATGTGCAATCCATATTGAAGGCTGTAGTGTTTGATCTTTATCAGTGAGTATTTAAAGTCTTCTTGCTTCCATCAAGCAAAGTTATATCATTACATCTCAGGTTGTTAATGACTCTTCCTCCAATCCTGATGCTATGTTCTTCTTCATATAATTCAGCTTCTCAGATTATTTATTCAGCATATAGATTGAATATGTATGTTGAAAGGATACACCCCTGGCACACACCTTTCCTGATTTCAAACTATTTAGTATCCTCTTGTTTTGTTCTAACAACTGCCTC